ATCCTTGCACAGGAGTCCAAAACACCAGCGCGAAAACTCCTTGAGGCTTTTTGGATCAATGCCAAAAGCCCTACAATGAATAGCAGGGACGAATGCCCGGAGATCATACGCGACCTGATCTCGTACGTTCGCATCGATTTTTGATGTGGGATGGTGCAGTCGTCAACCACATGCGACTATAATCAGCTGTTCTAAACTTCCTCATTGGAAGTCACGAAAAAGCGGTGGGTTTTTCGAGAAGTTGTTGATTGTGTAATTGCCGGAGAGTTCTTCGTCTTCTTGTAAGTGTTATTGAAGCGTTTGGCCTAGTAGATTGTATATCAGTATACCCTTCCAGGCTCTGAAGAAGGCGATACTGCCGAAACGTCAGCTAGCGTTGTATTGTATTGTGTTTTTATGGAAGTAAAAGACATGATTTAGTTTATTTAAAATGAAACCACAGCATGTATTTCACAGAACAACTTCCTGTGTGCTCCATTAAAAGAATAACTCTACGTTGCTGCTGAATCTCATTGACGAATAATTGAGGGATTCAAGGGACCCAACTCTGTTTCCACGACTACTAGAATTTCTACAGTTTCACCCGATTATTTCAGATGAAACAAAGAATGTAACCAATGTGGTGAAATGGGGAGTAAAATCTGAATGGAATGCGAATGGTGAGAATATGAATGACGATGACCGGACGATGAATCTCTTCATTCAACATGTTTCGCAATTTTAATTGTTGATGGCACTGATCGATAGAAATAGCTGACAGACAAGCGAAACGAAGGACCCGCATAGTATGGTGGTGAACGCGTTACTACCCAGAAAAGACAACAGCGCGTTCGTTTCCCACCGCAGACACTTGCGGTCCGGAGTTTTGCAAACACCTCAACATCACTCAAGATGTTTCACAATATTTTTTGCAGCCTACTAATCATGTTCACTTGTGAAAGCGTCCATTTTTGAGTTATATTTACTAAGAACTTCTTAGTTTGTGTCAGAGAAAAATCTATAAATCGCAAGAATAATTATAATTTCCAAGAAATAATCAGAATTATTCCCAGAACTAACCTCGGCATTGTTAAATAAGTCAGTGTTTTCTTCTTCATCAAACACAAAGTTGTCAGTAACAAGAATTATTCAACATTAGTTGAGGTTTCGGCGGATTCGCCTTCTTCAAAGCCTCGAAAGGTTAAATTGTCAGGCAATCCATTCAGTCAAACACTTTCATAACCAAGCCAAAACAAAGCCAATACAAAAATTTCATTCGCACAGTAAGCAACTTCTTTTAAACACTCATCGATTTGTGTTTTATAAGCATTACAGTTATTATAGTAGACCGGCCGCAAAGAGTATTAAATGAGCGGGGAATGTGCCAGGCTCCGGCCAAAAAATCAGCGCGAAGAATGGAGCAATGAATGGCGAGCACACATGACCACAAAACACTTCTCCTTGTGGTTGATTTTTGGATTTCGAGAATTAATCCAAAACGCTTAAAAAGTTTCACCCTCTAATGTTTTAGATTTCTGTGCGAAGACTGTGACTTCACTTCAGAATATTTCTCGTTGTCTTTGTGCTCTCTCTATGGAGTGTTTTGTTTGATTCTATGTTTCTCAATTAAGAGCTCTTTTAAATGGACACAGAGTGGTCTAATAATTTCGAAACAGTAGCTCTCCAGGATAGTTTTAAAGGGAAATCAAAGCCACCAAAAGAGAAGTCTAACGAAAACAAGGTCCCCTATGATAAAACGTTGATTTAGAACAGCCGCTCCGAACAATATAAAACATCGTTCGTAACTGTTTTTATGACGGTATGTGTAAAATACAAGTTACATAAATTGTCATAATGGTAGAGATAGCGACTGAATGAGTTCAGGTACAATGGACCTCTTGTAAAGCGTGAGGTGAAGAGTACGTTGGCGAAACAGGTGGACCTTCCTGCATCTGTGTAAAAGAGTACCTAGTTGGGAAACGAAAAGTCAAATAAAACACTCTACCTGGTACCAGTAGATACAAAGTAATGGAGAAGAGTCTGAAGCAAAAGTCGCTATCCTCGCTCACGAATCCACGACATCGGCGTGTGAAACTCTTTACGCGTTTTGGATAAACTCCAAAAATCCAATAATGAACCGCAAGGAGTGCTCTTGATCAGGCGTGACAAACCGCCATATGTCAGACTGATTCTTTGACCTTAGCCTGGGAAAATTCCTTCCACAAATAAGACTCCGCATGACTGGTCTTTACCAAATAATTGGAAGGCTTACCAGAAGCAAAATGGTGAGCGTTTGAAAAAGGCTACTTACTGTACGAATGAGAACTTATGTATTAAACCTTTAAAAAACCTCTTAAACGTGACTTTCCAGGCTCTGAGGCAGTCGAAGTCCGCCGAAACGTCAGCGCGTCCGTGAATAAAGAATAAAATAACAGCTTATACTTGCTCAACAACAATATGAATACTTATGCATTAAGTTTTCTTGCTGAAGCAATGAAAGTGTTTTGGGTGAGGAGACTGCGTGTCAACTTGACCTTTCCAAGCTCTGAAGAAGATGAAAGCCAGTATTGAATAAATCTTGTTATTAACAACCTCATGTCTCCTTAGGAAGAAAACACTGACTTGATCAGAATTATATCTATAAAATGATTCAATGGCAAAGAAAAACTCACGTGGATATCATCTCCATCAGAACAGACCTCATAGAAACCAACAACGGCGTTCGCTTTGAGCTTTTTCTCGGCAATAATTTTCCCCAACCAGTTCTGCGCATCCTAAGAAATGTGTCAATAACACCAAGAATTTCAATCACACATATATATATAGTGATTTCTACGAAGGAAAAAGGAGTACATTTCAAAGTACACAAAACAGAGCAATAGAAATGAAAGTCTGCAAGTCTGCAATCCAAGTAAGACCGCCCTAGCCTGGTTATCTCAGAACTTCAGGGAAGATCGACTCGATCAGCCCTCAACAACATTCATCACGAAAATAAAGTCCTCGAGCGGCAGTCGGAGCCATACGTAAAATGTTGGAAGACCTTCGTGGACGATGAGTACGAGGAAATGAATCGAGTGCAAGAAGAGCTGGGATCCGTGAAATAGATGTTAAAGACGTGTGGTATAAAAATAAAATAAAAAGGGTGGGAAATAAAAAAATAAAAGAGCCAAGAGAGAGAGAGACAGACAGAGAAACGGAAATGAGTGGTAGGTGTATGAAAATGTGAAAATGAAGCAAAGACAAGTAACATAAGAGACAGACAAATTGATCTAGGCACTACTAAGTAACAAAGAAGCAATCGATGGAATAAGGTAGGTCCTCGAGAACGTAATCAGAGTAATAAACCACCGTTGGTAAACCCAAAACAATCAAAACAAAACCAAACAGCTGAACTAAGCAAGTAGTAAACAGCAAAGAATGACGCACATTATAGACCCGCTTCGCCTCTTCACCGACTTCATCGTCGTTGAAGATCTTTGGATACGCTCGATTTGGATATTTTCCACGCAACTGCCATACGTCGAAAAATGGCTTCCAATCTATGTATGGCAACAATACAGGCAGGTCGAAATCTCTGAACTCTCGACGACCGAGGTATGACGGTCGAACTGCAAAATACTGTAAGTCAGAGTGGCAACAAAAACCGCTCTCAGAAGGGTCGTACCGAGGTTTTCGTGTGAAAACCTAAATAGTGAAAAAATATGCTTGTTTCATTGACCATACTACTCCAACTAAAGACTTTTACATATTCAATACACAGATTTTTAGCGTAGTAGGCAAATGATTTGTGTACAAAATAGGTGGTTCAACTTCAATAAAGAGACATTTTTCCAAAGACTTGGTCCTAATGTTAAAAAATTTACCCTTTGAAGCTTCCCAAGACAATTTAATGTAAATGCATTAAATACACGAAAGTTAAAGTGCTATCAACCTTGAGATTTTTTTCCACGCTCTGAAGAATGGAAATCGCTGGATCAGCTTGCCATCATTTTACACCTAATACGAAATAGTTAAGTGATTTAATAAAGAAAATCAGAAGTACACTTCGGTGTGAAATCTCGTTGTAAGTGACAATAAAAATGTGTGGAGAACAAAGAAAAATGTGCGTATATCCAAGCAACAATTTGGATAGTGAGACACCCTAAAAATACTACAATCTAATTCAACCAACAATTCATACGGTAGTTATTCACAAACAATAACTTCGTTACTTTAATCATTACCGAACTGCAAAGAAATGTAAGCAATTGAACAGAAGACAAAGCACAATGATGCTGAGATATTTGCAAAACTCTGGATCGCAGGTGTGTTTGCGGTGGGGATCCAACTCGATATTACCCTTTCCAGAGGATAACGCGTTTTCTACCACACCACGCGCGTCGTTAAAAGAGAAAGCAGTTAGATTAAGGTGAAAGTTGTAAAATGTTCGACCACAATCATACCTGGCGGAAACTTGACGAAATCGACGTGCACCTTCTTAAGCCTTGCTGCGTCAATAGTAGTAAAACGGCGATCCTTTAAAGAATCATAATGTTCCCTACGAACCTAAACAAAAGAAGAGTTTTCATAGCACCTGAAACTATCACCCATAAGTTGTTTATTAATGGAGAAAAAAATATTTAAGATTAATAACCATTGAGGAGTAAAACAGAAACGCATAAGCTAGTTTCTGTGGAAAATCTCTAAACAAGAATCCTTAAACAGAACGCAAGAGGAAGGCAGAAAATAGACGTGCCTCTTCATACTCTTCAATCAAATCTGCAATGAATGAGTCTCTGGTCGTCTCATCAGTAAGCGATGAGCACTGAAATAGTAATGATTATGCTAATATTGAGTTATTTAGGTAAGTAGTATTAATTGTTGGTGCCAATATGTTCTATGTACAGTGTGCTAGGAACAGACTTTTACTAGCAGAAACAACCTTTCACTCATTATTTATAACTATGTGAGTCACATCTGCTTGACAAAGTAACTACCATATTAAATAACACGGCTCACCAAGTTACCCACATTTTCAAACTTTGCTTTAGTTTAGATGTAACCTCGGATTTCCATGGAAAGCTTCAGGAAAAATTTAAGGGAAAAAAGGTGGGAAACCTAGTAATCCTTCTTTCTCGGTATTTTTCACTGATTTTGTTTCACTTCATAGCTTCAAACAACAAAATTTGTACATTATATTTCCGCGAAGATTAGAATTTGTTCTAAAATCCCACCACAACTACAGATTTACTAGCGTCCAAACAGTGGATAACTGGATTACCATAACGCGGAGCGATCTTCACAGCTGTATGCGTTTTCGACGTCGTTGCGCCACCTGAAAACCACATGACTACTTTATCATAAAACAGTTTGGTGGTTAACAGTTAAGTAATTTCGTCAAGAAAACAAAAAGTAAAATGCACAACAAAAATCAGTCCCATTGACAGATGATTGCTGATAGTACCTATAAAAAACGGCCGAGACAAAGGCGAAACGAAGGACCCGCACGGTGTGGTGGTGAGCGCGTTACTCCCGGAAAGGACAACAGTGCGTTCATTCCCCACCACCTGCGGCCCGAAGTTTTGTAAACACCTCAGAACCATTGTGCATATATTCCACATCATACTCTGCTATGAAAAAAGTGTAGGCAGTAAATAAAAAATGACTAAATAGGCATATTACCGAAGCACACCAGAAGGATTTTTTTCTAAACCATGACATCGTAGACGAACATAGAAGACAAGATCGCATCATGTTACTTACGGCTTTGAAGGAATACGAAATGATTTTTCCTGCTCTCCAAGACCAAACTTTAAGAGATTTAAGGTCAACTGCCTATTCGATTTAAACGAAAAATAAATATAACTCGTATGAAGTGCTGAGATATTTGCAAAACTCAGGACCACAGGTGTATGCAGTGGGGAACGAACACGCGCTGTTTTCCTTACCGGGGAGCAGCGCACTTCACCACTACACCATCCGGGTCCTTCGCTTTGCATGTATCTCAGCTAGTTCTATCGATCTTTTTGCCATCAGCAATCACTCGTCAACGGGATTGATCTGGGGAGCCAATATTGGCCTCGAACCCAGTTAAGCTGAGGCCTCGTTATAATCACAATCTTAACTCTTTTATTTACTCCCTTTTTCTTCTTAATGGCAGGGTATGTTGTGAAATATAACTCGTATGATTGTGATTGTGATTGTGATTATTGTGATTTGTGATTATATTGTGATTATAACGAGGCCTCAGCTTAACTGGGTTCAATGCCGATATTGGCTCCCCAGATCAATCCCGTTGACGGGTGATTGCTGATGGCAAAAAGATCGATAGAACTAGCTGAGATACATGCAAAGCGAAGGACCCGGATGGTGTAGTGGTGAAGTGCGCTGCTCCCCGGTAAGGACAACAGCGCGTGTTCGTTCCCCACTGCATACACCTGTGGTCCGGAGTTCTGCAAATATCTCAGCACTTCATACGAGTTATATTTCACAACATACCCTGCCATTAAGAAGAAAAAGGCAGTAAATAAAAGAGTTAAGATTGTGAAAAATAAATAGTTAAACTACATACTATCGCAAAAGATCGGCTCATGTNATATGAATCGTCCGGTTTTGCTGACCTGATGGAGACCTTGTCGAACAATTACGGTAATCTGCAAACTTCGGAGGGTTATGCAGCTTGTTTAGCGCACTTTTCGATTGAAGCAGGGATAATGTATACACTGTGGGGGTTCACCACATGAGCCGATCTTTTGCGATAGTATGTAGTTTAACTATTTATTTTTCACAATCTTAACTCTTTTATTTACTGCCTTTTTCTTCTTAATGGCAGGGTATGTTGTGAAATATAACTCGTATGAAGTGCTGAGATATTTGCAAAACTCCGGACCACAGGTGTATGCATTGGGAAACGAACACGCGCTGTTGTCCTTACTGGGGAGCAGCGCACTTCACCACTACACCATCCGGGTCCTTCGCCTTGCATGTATCTCAGCTAGGTCAACAGCACGTGTTCGTTCCCCACTGCATACACCTGTGGTCCGGAGTTCTGCAAATATCTCAGCACTTCATACGAGTTATATTTCACAACATACCCTGCCATTAAGAAGAAAAGGGCAGCAAATAAAAGAGTTAAGATTGTGATTATAACGCGGCCTCAGCTTAACTGGGTTCAAGCCGATATTGGCTCCCCAGATCAATCCCGTTGACGGGTGATTGCTGATGGCAAAAAGATCGATAGAACTAGCTGAGATACATGCAAAGCGAAGGACCCGGATGGTGTAGTGGTGAAGTGCGCTGCTCCCCGGTAAGGACAACAGCGCGTGTTCGTTCCCCACTGCATACACCTGTGGTCCGGAGTTCTGCAAATATCTCAGCACTTCATACGAGTTATATTTCACAACATACCCTGCCATTAAGAAGAAAAAGGCAGTAAATAAAAGAGTTAAGATTGTGAAAAATAAATAGTTAAACTACATACTATCGCAAAAGATCGGCTCATGTGGTGAACCCCCACAGTGTATACATTATCCCTGCTTCAATCGAAAAGTGCGCTAAACAAGCTGCATAACCCTCCGAAGTTTGCAGATTACCGTAATTGTTCGACAAGGTCTCCATCAGGTCAGCAAAACCGGACGATTCATATGAAGAAGACCTGGAGATGCTTAAGCAGCGAAGCTATTCAAGAGATTCAGGGAGTCAGTTTGACAACCACTCAACTAACTCACGAAGAAGACAATGCTCAAACGGCAACAGGACCCACTCTCTAACTCGAAGAGTTTCGCGACTGATGGCTGCAAGACGACAAACCGAATAAAATAAGTGATCGAATCCACACAGTATGCGGAATTTAAATCATATAAATGAAGTTTTAAAGTACAAACCCACCAATCAGTAATGGTATGGTGAGGCCATTACGCTGCATCTCCTTGGCTACATGAACCATTTCGTCTAGCGATGGCGTAATAAGACCCGAACATCCAATAAAGTCTAGAATTTGGAACAAACTAAATCGCTGTAGAAAAAAGAGCAGTAATGAGGTGGAATGGAGTTTGGAACATCCGACAGTTGAAAAAGGGTAAAGTAGAAAACTTTATGAAACCAAGATTAATATGTTTCTTTCAGGTTAACAAGTTATTGCATCGAAATTTTTCGGAAAGCTCATCTTTGGTCATTTTGTTCTATATGTAGCCAAGTTTGGTTATTTTTTGTTTTCTTCTGTTCTTTCTCGTTATACTTTACAGCACTTAGTCTCTAGTGCTTTTAATAAAATGTAAAATTTACTTTGAATAGTAAAACAGTAGCATATTTCCAGAGTTCATCCATGACTACACAACTATCCCTAACATCTTTTTTATCAAAAAAAACCAAGATATTAAAACCAGCGCCGCTCTTACCGGCTTTCTCTTCGATAGCAGTCTTAATAATGACATCGCAAGGTGTCATCACTCCCAAGTCCACCACCTACAAAACAATGCCTTATAAAAATGCAATGATGGAGAAATAAAAGGTATGTGTCGTTTTCTTGTTCAGCAATCGCGAGGTTTTTAAACAGCATACATTTACTTCCATAAAAACACAATACAATACAACGCTAGCTGACGTTTCGGCAGTATCGCCTTCTTCAGAGCCGCTTTTTCGTGACTTCCAATGAGGAAGTTTAGAACAGCTGATTATAGTCGCATGTGGTTGACGACTCACATGCGACTCACGACGACTAAAAGGTATGTGCTTACTCAGATACCGTCTATTTATTTCAGATGATATACAAATTAAACTGACTTTCTTTTAAACACACACACACACACATTGGATATCCACGATGGCCATCTAACATTTGGACTACTATGGAGCTTCCACTACTCAACCATGATGGCTGGTGGAACTACTAACTCATTTCTATAATGCTGAGATATTTGCAAAACTCCGGACCGCAGGTATCCGCGGTGGGGAACGAAAGCGCCATTGTCCTTTCAGGGAGTAACGCGTTCATCACCACACCATACGAGTCCTTCGTTTCGCCTGTCTCTCAGTTAGTTCTACCGATCTTTTGCCATCAGCAATCACCCGTCAATGAGATTGGTCTGGGGAGCCCAAATCGGCATTGAACCCAGTTAAGCTGAGGCTATAGTTATAATCACAATCTTAACCTTTTTATTTACTGCCTACTCTTTTTAATCGTAGGATAAATTTTAATTTAATTTCTTTTTGCAAATATCTCAGCATTATAGAAGTTATATTTCGCAACATACCCTGCCATTGTTCCATAAATAAAAGAATAACCATTGTTGAAGGCATAAATATAAAGAGTTCCACTTAAAAACAAAAGGACTTACCTTGAAGTTATTACATCCGAGAACAACAGCCACTATATTCTTTCCGATGTCATGAACATCTCCCTTTACAGTTGCTAGGACTATAGTACCCTGGTACGGGCTCTGAAATTCGGAAATTGTCGCCTAGATCCGCTTATCAAAAGTTTTCGTTAGAGTCCAATGTCAGGCTATACTCCATTACCAAAATATAAGACATTTTCCAGCTCACAGAATGCTATAAAAAAGATACTACGAGAACACGCCCGTGTGGAACAGTGGTTAGAAGTGGTACTGCAGTACATATAGACGATATAGCAATCCAAACCATGAGTACACTAAATCCTCCGTCCTTTGGAAGTCGGGTGTTTGGTGGCAGAGTTGTCTGGGAGGAGAACAACACTAACTCCAGCGAGTATTTGTACAAGCTGAATATGCATTCAATCACCTTTTGTTAGAAATGAAGCCCAATATGTGGCGAACTCCAAACGGGTTGACCAAGTTCGCACACTTTATCCTCTACCCTTTTAGCACGAGAATTTTCTTACACTAAACTCAGGGTAATGAGTAAGAACCAATAGGAGATGCCAGACAACTACATCTAATTAGTCTACACCTGTATTTTTATTATTACTACTACTATCATTATTATCATTGTCATTATTATTATTGATATTATTATCGGTTACACACAATTCCCTTTCACCGATACAATGCATCGTAGTTGTGAATGTTCCTGGGTGTCAAACTTCGATGTACAATGCCATGTTTATCCCTCAACAAATTCAGGCGTCTGAGATTTCCATAAGACAGCCCTGCATTTATCTCACAAAACAGCCCATTCAGCCACCGTAACCCATATTCCTACCAAAAACAGTATGATTAGAAGGCCTCATGCTAGAAGTATCGAGTTCTTTGTGCACTATGATTGATTGCGAGGAGCTCATTAGATAGCACCATGAGGGACAGAGAGTAATGTGGCACTCAATGAGAAACAAACGCACTGGTATTAATGCGTAAACATTGTTAATCTGATAAGAAATAAATTCTTTAATAAGTCATGAGAAAAAGCACAGTCGACTTTCTGTAGGCAAGAACGACCAAAGCACCTGTTCATCGGCAAGTCCCAATTTCTTGATATTCTCCTCCCGTTCCTTATCCATAAATGGGATCAAATATGCCACTGCTTTCTTCATCACTCGTGCTGATTTGATTACCTGGAATATTCTCAACTTTCCAACTACATATTTGGTAAACAAATTAAACGCGATAAGTTCATAGCTTCATACCTTCTTAATGAGAAAATAAGTCCTATTTTTGAACAAGGTCTATATAGGCCACCCATTGAGATCCCAAAAAGCAATGGCTGGTCAAAAACTCTCAACACAATGTTATACCTTTTTATTTTCTGCCTACTACAATTTCGCGGCAGGGTACTAAGCGAAATACAACCACAACGTTGCTGAGATATTTGCAAAACTCTGGACCGCAGGTGTCTATTTCCGGGGAGTAACGCGTTCACCACCACACCATAGCTGAGAGACAGGCGAAACGAAGAACCCGCATGGTGTAGTGGTGAACGCGTTACTCCCCGGAAAGGACAATAGCGCGTTCGTTCCTCGCCATAGACACCTGCGGCCCAGAGTTTTGCAAATATGTCAGCGTTGTGGTTGTATTTCACCCTCAACACAGTTCTAGTGACCCCCATGGAATGTAACAAGATTATTCAGTTATAATACCATTACCTTATCTATCAATATATCAATATATCAATATATCTATCATTACCTTATCTATCTATACCTTATCTATTTACTTGGACACTTGGACGGCCCGGCCCGTCCTCACTAGTTCTGCCGACCTCAGCAAAATTTCCACTTTTCAGAGTTTTGCTGGTTTAGCCATTGTGGTTCCCTAGAGTTCCGAAGTCAGCCAAGCCAAAGTCTGCCACAAGTTGTCACGATTCTAGGCAGCAGCCGCCCCTGTGGATCAGAGGGAGATTTGCCACCACACGACTTTGATACCAGGGCGGTGGTGGAGCTTGGTATTGGTTTAACCTTAGCAGGGCTTCCCGATAGAAATGCCGAACACCCTGTCAGCTTGGGAGGCCCTCCTGGGGAATGAATCCCCCCACCGTACATCGTAGCCTGGCAGTCAGGAACACCTCTTAGTCACGATGAGGCGGTAAACTGTTGGGATAATAGGATAACAATATCATATAATATAATTAATATCCATATCCATACCCACGGATCTCCCTCATATGAGGGACCTCGGGCCGCTTTGTCGCGACGCTACGTGGCCCGTCCCCAGGTGGCTGATAGCGGGTTAATAGCGGACCAAAAGCGACCTTTGCTTCCCTGAGACGCAGGTGGATCCAGAGGATGGACTCCCTGTTTCTGCCGCGCTCATTTGGCACATACTCTCTGCATTTGCTAGGCATATTCATACATGCGTGTGTGGGTGCGTTCTTACTTATGTGGATTGTATCCGAGTTAATTCGGCCAAAAGCCTGCAGTAAAGTGACTGCGAAGTATATGGGAGGCGGTCAGGAGTCGCCTCCAACAAATAAGCTCCATGTCCACTCTCGGAGAGCTTGGCAAGCTACCCGTGAGTATACTCAGCCCCCACGTTCAGAGCCCAGCAAGCTATACATGGGCATCAAAAGTGCTAAACACAGTAAAAAAAAAAACGGGCCTCATTCATCTGACCACAAAAGAGCCCCAATTTCGCAGCGTTGGGTAGGATGAGTATGGAGAGGCTGCTAAAATCTCAGGGCCAATGGAAGCTGCTTGGATTACAAAGAACTATGGTGACGATCTGTACCTACAACGCACGTACACTTGCATCCGAGTCCTCGATAGAAGACTTGCTCATGCAAGCAAGAAGATAAAGTACGACGCCATCGCCCTGGCCGAGACGAGACGACGCCAGCCATTCAACGCCGTCTATGACACCGGAGAAGAACTGTTCCTCGGAACATGCGACACTGAGGAGTCGGTGGCCTCGGCGTTCTCGTCAACACGAGTTTGTCCATGAACATCCATTCATTCGAACAACTCACAAGCCCAATCGGACATTTACGATTAAACAGACGTGAATCAATTCCGGCTTTGACAATCTTCGTCGTTTACGCGCCGACATCAAACTATGACGAAGAAGAAGTCGAAGCGTTCTATATGGACTTGGAGAAGTTCTATAGAGAAAACCACACATTCTTCAAGGTCATCATTGGAGATTCCAACGCCAAGATTGGACTGGGAAGAACGTTACATTGGGACCCACGGATTAGACGGTAACGAATAGGGTGAGCGGCTGTCTGAGTTTATCATGGCGACCAAAACAATCCATGGCAACTCGCAATTTCAGAAACCCCACCCTCAGTGCCGGACGTGGGAGTCTCCCAATGGAGAGTACCATAACGAAATAGACCACATCATAATAAATAGAAGGTCTTGTCTAACCGATGTCGCTGTTGTTCCAAAATTCTACACGAGATCAGACCATTGTCTCCTTCGTACAAGCTTCTATTTCTCGCGGAAGGGAGAAAAAGCCGCTAAATTCCAAAACCGAAGTCCTAGAATCACCGTAAACTGGGATTTATTCAATTTATTAGTCGGCTGTTAGGAAGACGCTGTTGTCGATAACATCGACGAAGAATACGATCGGCTCATTCAACATGTTCACGTTAGCGCTATGAAAGCTCAGAGTTCGAAAGTCACCAAGAGACGTCT